CCTCCCCTCCTGTGACTTCTCAAACCAAAACACATTCCCCTCTAGGTGTTGTCTATTTGAATATAAGGTCCTTAAGAAGAGGAACTGTTTTGCCTTTGTATTTGTAACTCCCATGCTTGGCATTATGATAATAATAATAGCAATAACAGCAACATTTATATAGTGCTTGCTACGTTACAGAAACCGTATTAAGTACGTTGCAAATATTAACTCATTTGAGCCTCACAACAACCCTGCAAGGTAGATGCTGCTATTATCCCCATTTTATAGCTAAGGAAACTGAGATTAAGTGACTTGCCCAGAGTCACACAACTAGTAAGTATGTGAGGCAAGATTTTGAACTCAGGTCTTCCTGACTCCAGCTTAATTTTTTTTAAATTGCCATTCATTCATAGTGCAGCAGAAAAAAAAAAAAAAAACAACCAAGACATAGACCTTGCCTTCAAATAATCTGAGTTAGAGAACCTTCAAGGCTCAACTTAGGTGCTACCTCCTCATTTTTCCCAGCTGTTAAGGGTCTTCCTCAGATTTTTTCATAAACCTCTGATCTCTCCCTAGCCTTCTTCACTCCTTTCTTTGTATTTTACTTATCTGTCTAGTGTTGTATTTCTCTAGTAGAATATAAGCTTCTGGAGGACAAGGTTTTGTTTTTATCTTTGAATCACCCACCAGTGTTTAGGACCAAAGCTCATAACTAGGGTGGTGCTGTAAGGGTTTTGCGCCATAGCACTGAAAACACCAGTACCCCTTCCACAGAAGAAAGAACTGAGGTTAGCACCTGTTAGCAAGAAGTTAAAAGAGGAAGTTACCAAATGGCTCATTTCCTAACCTCAAATGACTTCTCTCCTGGCCCAGTCCCACTCTAGAATGACCTCCCAGCAGCCCAGGGCCCAGTGTCCCAGATTGAGAGCCTTATAATGTTCTATGCCATTTCACCTGGATGTAGCTTGGGCTGCCCCAGGGACAAAAATTGCTATTCACAAATGCCTACCATAGTGCGTTTCATACTTGCAGGGGTGGGAGGGAAGGGTGTAACAGATCTGTGATTTTATCAATGTCAGCAACTCCCTGTGTGGAAAATTCCCTTAACTAATGCAAATGAGTAACTCCTGTGACTTCTGGTCTTAGAGAGCTTCCTCAGGCACTGAGAGGGTAAATTCCTTATCCAAGATCATACAACTAGTATAGGCAGGCCTGAAACCAAAATCTTCATGACTCTAGATCTATCCACTACTCCATATTGCTTCTGATTGGTTCATGTCTTTTCATTTTGGTTTCCCAACTAACTTGCCAGTTCCTTGGGGTTATGGACCATGTCGAAATACTTTGTCTGCATCTCTCAGTACAATTAATACAGTGTTGAATACATTCCAGACTCTTCTCCAGGGAAGAGTCAGCTTCATCATTATTATTGTTGGTTTTTTTCCCATTAACATCTTTGTCTTAATTGTGTCTGTTGTTTTTCTGGTTCTGCTTACTTCATGCCGTATCATTTCTTCATTGTTGTCCTTTCTCAATACTATTCAATAACATTCATATACCACATTTTCCCCATCTCATGGATATCTATTTTGCTTCCACTTCTTTGATTCCACCAAAACATGTAAATGAACGAATATTTTAGTATATATGGGACCTTTTCTTTCTGTCTCTGAACTCCTTGGGCTATATGCCTGGATCAACAGATATCCATATCCCACCCTTAACTGGGGGAGGTACCCTATGGCTCTACATTCTGTCTACCGTATATAGAGCTCTCTTACCTATACACTCTCATTAGTTGAGTTCATCATCTCCCATAGAGTTAATTATCATCTCATTAAAGATGACTTTCTCCTCAGCTCTAGTCTCACATCTGCCTATTAGACATCTTGACCTAGATGCCCCATAGGCATCTCAACCTGTCCCAGAGCAAAGCCAAACCAACCCCTCTTCTGAAGTTCCCTGTTTCTTTCAAGGGCATCTCCATCTCGGAGTCACTCTCAGCTTTTCACACTCACTCGTCCTACATTTGAGTCAGTTGTCACGTCTTATCAATTCTACCTCCACTGCACATCTCACATTCATCTTTTTCCCTTCACTCATTTTATCACTACCCTGGTTGAAGCCCTCATTACCTTTTGCCCAGACTATTGCACTAGCCTCCTAGTTGAATTCATTGCTTAGGCTTAAGCCAGTCTGCTCCTCAACTCATCTAGCACACAGCTAGATCATATCATTCTCCTACTCAGTGAACTCCAATGGCTTCCAATTACCATTAAGATCAAATATCAGTTCCTCAGTATGGTATGTAAAGCCCTCAACAATCTGGTCTCAACCACCCTTCGCAGGTTTGTTTTATATTATTCTTCTTTGCAGACTCTATGATCTATCTACCCTACCAAGCCGTCTTACCGTTCCTTATAAACAACTTATCTCCTGTCTCCATGACTTTGTACCACATGTCTCCCATGCCAGAAACTCACTCCCTTTTCACTCTCTACCTCTTAGAATCCCTGATTTCTTTCAAAACTCAGGTCAAGCATCACCTTCTGTGTGACCCCACAGATGCGAAGGTCTTCCTCCTCAAAATTATCTTGAATTTATTTTGTACATGACTATATGTGTACATGTTTTCTCCCCCAATAGAATACAAACTTGAAGGCAGAGACTATTTTGCTTTGTCTTTGTATCTTCAGCATCCAACGTTATGCCTGGAACATAGGACCATAGACTTAGAACTGGAAGGTAATTTAAAGGCCATATAGTCTACGCTTTCCCCTTCCTGCCTCATTTTATAGATGAGAAGACTGAGTCTCATAGAGATTAAGTGGCTTGGCAAGGTCCCACGGGTAGTGGGGGCAGATCTAGAATTTAAGCTTCTTTGATTCCAGCGTCTTTCCAATGTACCACATTTGCCTCTAGGTACTTAATAAGTCCTTGTTGATTTATTAATATGGACTTTTTAGTAACATTTTAAATGTAATTCCAAATTGTATTCCATAATGGCTAGATCAGTTTATAGCTCTACCAACAGAATCAAACAGAAGATTTTGTATTTTATTCTATAGTTTATAGTTTATCCTAGACATAGTTGGGAACCACCATAATTTATTGAATAGATGGGTAATGTGGTCAGACCTGCACTTCATTGTCAGTTAAATAGAGGAAGGACCATAGTGGAGAGAGACCTGAGACAGGGAAACCAACCAGGAGGCAATTGCAAAAACCTAGGTATAAGGTAAAGAGGACCTGCACCAGGAACTTGGCAGTTTTGGAGGAGAGAAGGGGTATATACAGAGGAAAGAAGAGACACACGTAAGAAATGTTAAGAAAATGGAGTTAATAGGACTTGGCAACAGATTGGCTAGAGAGATGAAGAGTTGAAGATAATGCCCAAGTTGTGAATGAGGATGACTGGGAAGATGGCGGTGTCCTCTATAGTAATTAAGAAGAGGGAAGGGTTTGTGGCGAAAGATGGCAAGTTCAGGTTTGGATATGTTGAGATTAAGATGTCTAGAGGATATCCAGTTCTAGAGCATTGAATGTTCTGAGACTGGAAGCCAGGTGAGAGTTTAGGGCTGGATAAATACATCTGAGAATCATCTACACTGAGATGATAATTGGATCCTTGCCACGCTTGAGACGCTGCTGTAGTGCTAGCAGCTCATGCCAACTCATGTGCCACCCTTCCACATAGAAAGGGTTCCATTTGATCACCAAAGGAGATACTGAATATGTAATTTATCTGCCAGATGGTGATATACTACAGCCACCCGCCCAGTAGTCCCATCAGCAAACTCCGGCGAAAGAACCTCGCCAAAATAAAAGGCTGTAAAATTTGCACTAGCCACTAGAGGGCATTCCTATCTCCTGCTACCTATGTAACAAAAGAACCAAGCCTTTAAATTTTAGCCTAGTAATTGATATAGAAAATTGCTCAAGATTATTAAATCATGAAAGACCTATGGCTTGCTACCTCTTCATTCCACATCTGGAATCTTCTTTTCTTAGTTATAACCAAGCCATGTTCATTAGATTCAAATGAAGTGTTTTGGGGCCACTAAATTTATTACATAGATAAAAATGGAAAAGAAATAAATCAGGCATTCTTGCCTAGAACATTCATCCCCACAGTCTTCTGGTCTCCTACAACTCTGTATGGGTACCCTCAGGTCATGGGAAGTAGCTTCAGAAAGGGGGATGGGGCAGAGGGGAGGGGTATATCCTGGACCCTCATCCTAGATAGACGTTAGAGTTTATACAGGAAAGCAGAGTCAGTGAGAGAACAAAGGTCTGTTACCCTGCCCCTGTTCACCTTTTCCTCTGCACTCCATGATAGCTAACGGGCCCTGGCATTCTGGATTCTTCTCAGCAGTGATGACCCCCACAAACTGCATTGGCAGCTTACATCTCAGCACTCGGTTCTTTTCTTGACTCCTCACTCCTCCCCAGCATTGTTGGCAGAGAAACTCAGGCAGAGAAGTGTGCAAACCTAAGAAATCTGATTCCCCAAACTTTCTATGACTTGCTCACATGCCAGCCTCTTGCTGCCTGTGTGTAGTGTCTCTCTGCTCCCTGTGCCAAATAGCCTACAAGAAGTGTGTCAAGGGCAAAAGGGAAAGGGCAGACCTATACATTCGCCCACTAGAACTCACCAGATCCCTTCATCCAGCGTTATGTTTGTAAATGTTTAATAACCAGCTCTGGAGGGGATTGGGAGTATATAAATGACGTACTTTTATGTTCAATTTGAATTACTAACATTTTCTCTATCATTTTCTCAAGTTTGGGCAACAGAATAATAAATCAAGCCCCGATCTATAGCATTTGCCAATTTCTGCAATGTAAATGCTCAAACTGAAAATTCAGTAGTCTCATTCAAGCCTGTTCAAGGTGGTTTCAGCACACTCCTGAATATAGTTCATGTTAAGTAACTGAAATTTAACTTTTGCAGAGTGTTTTATGACTATACAATCTGGCAAAATAAAGATGATTCTGTACTGTTTATTTTTCTGTAGGTTTTTTGGAATCTCTGGATGACTTTTATCTTCTCAGCAGTGGTTTGGTCATGCTGCAGACCACCAACACCGTATTTAACTATACCCTGCTAAAACACGTGGTGCCAGAATCTCTTTTGGCCTGGCAAAGGGTCCGGATTGCCAATATGATGGCAGATGGTGGCAAGAGGTGGGCAAATATCTTTTCAAGATACAACTCTGGTAAGTAACCTTATAAATGAGCTTCCAGTCAAATAAGACAATTTTTCTTTGGTATCACAACATATGCATGTATATCTTTTGTTTCGAGATAGCCAATAATGGCAGGCCATGTTCTCCCCCATCTTAGGTACTTATAACAACCAGTACATGATCCTTGATCTGAAAAAAGTGAAGTTAAATGACAGTCTTGCCAATGAGACCCTCTTCATCGTGGAGCAAATTCCCACGCTCGTGGAATTCACAGACCAAACTGACGTTCTTAGGAAAGGTATGTACTTGGCAGAGGTCTGCTTGTACTAGTCAGGCTGGAAAAAAAAAATTAGACTAAGTTACCATAAACTGGTTGTCCAGCGCTGAGATCTGCACTGCATCCCTACAGTTTGAGGTTGAGACCTTGTAATTAGTCATTTATAATTTCTCACACCCCTTGGAGATTGGCCTGTTCTCTGATATTGCTGGATAAGTCACTTAAAACCTCACTGGTTCTTAGTTTCCCCATGTGTCAAATGGAACAAGTAGTGCTCAGGGGGATTACGGAAATTAATATCTAAATTTGAGAAGTCAGAGTTTTATAGAATAGATGGATTGAAAATTTTTTCCTTAGTCATCTACTGCTGTAAGCGCTCCTTTCCCAATGTTTATCCTACTTCCACCTCCTTCTTTCACTCTTCTCATCAGTGATCTCTCTGCCTGATGTTTGCTACTCCTTCCCTTGGTCCCATCCCAACCCTATTCCCACAGCATCCCACTCAACATCTGCCCATCCCTTCCACTATGTTTTCTGGATCTCTATTTAGTCTATAATTATCTGTATTTAGCTTATAATTAGATTATATTAGACTATATTTATTCTGGATCTCTATTTAGTCTATAATTACCTGTATTTAGCCTATAATTAGATTGTATTAGACTATATTTATTCTGAATCTCTATTTAGTCTATAATTAGCAAATATCTGTATTTAGTCTATAATTAGAATATATTAGAATATATTTATTCTGGATCTTTATTTAGTCTATAATTAGCAAAAATCTATATTTAGCCTGTAATTAGATTATATTAGGCTATATTTATTCTGGATCTATATAATTGGCAAACTTCCTTTCATTTTAGACCTCTTCCTTTCATGCACCTTCTATCTTTTGGCACTTACTAGGGCCTGACTCCCCTTGGAAGACACCACATCCCTGGCCATCCTTTCTAATACTGGTTGTGCTTTTTTTTCTCATACCCTTTTCCCCTTACCTGGTACGTGAGTTGGAATACTCCTTGCTCTCTGTTGCCACTTCCAGACTCTTCCTCTTCTTCCAGCACTTAGTAACCTTTCCTCCTTGAATCTTCACTCCAAATTTATCACCCAATCCAGATCCCAATGGCTATTACCTACCAACCTTCAAGACATTCTTTCCTTTCACAATAAGTTACGTGCCTGCTTATGGTGTCACTTCCTATCTTGACTCAACCGTCACTTTGGCTCTTCTTAGGGCTAGGTCCTTCCCTTTGCTATTAGCTTTGGCAACATAACTGAGTTTGAATCCCATTACCAGGTGCAACTTGAGCTTAGGAAAACTTGAAGATTCTAAGGAATTACAGCTATGCTGTTTTTGGTGGCCAATTCATTGGATAATCTTTTTTGGGGGAGGGGTGAGATACACTGGCACCTAAATTCCCCCAGAGGAGCATTCAAAGCCATCTGTCTTTTGGGGGATTCCACCAGATTGTGAATATTGTTGTAGTGTTATAGTGCAGCCCCAGGAAATTTATCTCCTAGTCTATAAATTGCTTTAAGATCTTTAGTTGAACTAAAAGACATCAGGATTTACATTAATGTAATGATCTTAATTCCTGAGGACTACCGATTAAATGGACTTTTTCTAGAAAAAAGAAAGATGGCATACTATGGATGCATAATAGTGCATATACTGTCAGACATGGTCAATGTGTAGATTTGTTCTTTTAGCTGTTTTTCTTTGTCACAAAGATATTTTCTATGTGGGAGTAGTAATTAAGAAATGATGGTGATATTTTAAAAATGAAAAGCATTAAAAAAAACTTTTAAAAAGATAATTGGCTAAACACTAGTTTAAAAAAAAAACGGATTCTAATGCTTCACCTTTTAAGTAAACTTGGAGATGCATTTACTTGGGGACCTTCCTCCAAGAAGAAGGGTCTATTGAAGTACCATTTTCTCAAGCTGTACAGTTTGTGTCCCAGTATAATTTCATTGTAACTTTTCCCATTATCAAAATGAATTACAACAAATAACTTCTCTTCTTTGTCTCTCTCCTTTTTTCTTTCTCTTCTTCCCTCCAACTCTTCTCCCTATCTTCAACCTCAATTCTGCCTCTACTCAGGATATTGGCCATCCTACAACATTCCTTTCCATAAGAGGACTTACGATTTGAGTGGCTACCCAATGATGGTTCAGAAATTCGGCTTGGTTTACTCTTACGACCTAGCTCCAAGAGCCAAAATCTTCCGCCGGGATCAGGGAAAAGTGACCAACATAGAATCCATGAAGAAGATCATGCGGTCTAACAGTATGTAATGCCCTTCTCTTCAGAACCTTATTTTTAAACACTTTCATTCTCCTACCTGTGAGTCATGAGAACTGTCCTTAAATTATGTGTTCATTGTGGAAGCCTCTGTGAGACAACACTTCATCCAGGGTATAGGTAGCACAGTACCTAATCCACCTGAGACAAATGAAATTTCATTCTCTTTTAAAAGAGGTTGTAAAATTTTAAAAAATAATTTTAAAAGATATTTAAACAAAAAATGTATACTTACAACAGGCCAAAAACCTGTAAGGCATGTTTAGTCACCTTTTCATTAACACATTCACTTTTCCAAGAAAACAAAATGAATTTACAAAAATTCAGGTTTTTTTTCAGTTTTTATTATTCTTCATCTCTCTGTAGTATTTGATCTTATTGACCTCTACTCCTAGATACTTTCTCCTCTCTGGTTTTTCCTGTTACTCTTGGTCATTCTTCATTCTCAACATATCTTTTAACTGTGGGTGTCCCTTAATAATCTGTCCTGAGCCCTCTCTTCACTCTATATAATCATATGACCTTAAGATGATAGATTTAGAGTTACAGGGGATGTTAGAGGTTGTTAAGTCCAACAAATGAGGAAAGTGAGACTGTTGAGGTTGTCCAGGGTTACCTTCATAGCTAGTGTCTGAGATGAGATTTGAACACGTCTTCCTGACTGCAAGTCCAAAGCTCTATCCATTAAATCCCTCTGCATTTATTCTTGGTGACTTCAACAACTCACATATCTGTTTAATTATCACATTAATTATGCAAATGTCTCCTAGATCTATATATTCAGACCTAGTCTCTCATGATCCTCAGTCCCATGTCACCAACTGCCTCTTGGATATCTCAAACTAAATATATTATGGGTCTCTCAAACTTAACAAACTCCAAACAGAAGTCATTATTTTCCCCCTCCAAACCTAACTCTCTTCTGAACTTCTTTATTTCTATTGATGGCATTAACATCTTTTCAAATCACCCAAGTTCATATGCTTGGTGTAAGCTTTGGTTCCTTCATCATATTCGCTCCTGCAACTCAGTGTGTGTTCCTAATGTCCCCTTCCCCCAATGCACATGTTGATGTTCCTCAAATATCCATACTTCCCAGTTCCTCCATCCACTCAGGTCCCATAAGTTTCTCCTCTGTTCCACCTCAGCTATATGCAGAGAGAATCATTCTCTTATGGGCTGGGGCTGACCTAGGCTGGTCCAGTAGTTCATTTTGGGGATTATAAAGAAATAAAACAGCTGTAGACCATTCAGCATTTACCAGACAGAAGTTTGCTTAAGAATAGCGTGGAAAGGAGACTCAACAAAGGTACAGCACTGGTTCAGATAGAAACATCTTTTCTTACCTTCATGTGGAAATACATATGGTCAGTCATATATGTTGGGTCAGATGGATGGTATTAGTGATTTAGTAGCTATTTATAGAGTCAATGGATTGCCCATTCTATATTTCTTGGAACAAAATGGCCAAGACACCATATTTGTTTTTGAAATAAGAATATATTTCAAGAGAAGAATATGTTCTTCTCAGGTGCTTTTCTAATTTCTCTGGTCTCTTTCCCTTGAAATGAGCCCAGAAACCCCACTGTGGATAATGGTTTTTCTTACTCTTCTTATTTTCTCAATCCCCTTTTTCTATTTTCTTAAATTATAAGAAGGATTCCTACCTCGAAGGAGATCCCTGTAATGCCATCGGCTACCAGGGGGAACTAAAGCTCAGCTACTTATACCTTATCTATAACACCCTTAATCTTACTATCACCTGCAAGTGTTTCATTTCCATGTTTAAGAACTCCAAAATTCTTTTATCCTAACATAATTTTCTATTATTCCATCTCCTTATCCTTACTTATCCCAAACTTATTCTCCTTTCTCACCATGATATCCAATCCCTCTGCCCCTAAATAGTTTCCCAGGCCACCACTCTTGCTCTTCTCCCTTACCAGTCTCAACTCCTTTGTAAACCAGCTCAACTGTATAGTACCCTCTGCTCTCAAATCCCCTTGCTCTCTTGTCCTATTACTGCTCAGACCTTCTCAACGTTTTGCATTTCTCTTCACTCACAACCAGCATCCTAATTCAAGCTCATCATCTCTTACCTAGACTATCATAATAGCCCCCAATTGGTCTCCCTGCCATTGGTACTGGTACTGGTAGTGGTGGTGCTGTCCTCCTTGCTGTCCCATGAATAAGACACTCCCTGTTTTGGCTCTGGGCATTTTCTCTGGTGCTCGCCATCCTCATCTTTGCCTACTGCCTTTTCTGGCTTCCTTTAACAGAGGAAAGACACTAATGAAGAGGGGTTGGGAAAACCTACCTATAGAAGATAGGATGTTAGTTTTGAATTATAATCCTTGTTCAGTTTATTACTCTACTGCTGGTAGCTTGGTGGAGCACCACATAGATAGGAGTGTGCAGGAACAGATTTACAGATCAATCTTGAAGGATCATTTTTTAAAATAAATTTATTTATTTGTTTTTAGTTTTCAACATTCACTTTACTAAGATTTTGAGTTCCAAATTTTCTCCCCATCTCTCCCCTCCCCCCACTCCAACATGGCATGTAAATTGATATAGGCTCAACATATACATTCATATTAAACCTATTTTCACATTAGTCATGTTGTAAAGAAGAATTAGAACCAAAGGGAGAAACCATGAGAAAGAAGAAACAAAAACAAAAGAGAGAGAGAGAGAGCAAGCAAATAATATACTTTAGTCTAATCAGACTCCATAGTTCTTTTTCTGGATGTGGACAGCATTTTCTGTCATGAGTCTTTTGGAGTTGTCTTAGATCTTTGCATTACTGAGAAGAGATAAGTCTATCAAAGTTAGTCATCATACAATATTGCTGTTACTGTGTGCACTGTTCTCCTAGTTCTGCTCACTTCGCTCAGCATCAGTTCATATAAGTCTTTCCAGGTTTTTCTGAAGTCCGCCTACTCATCATTTTTTTAAAAAACCAATTCTGGGATTCCAGTTCAACAATATAGAGTACAAGCCTTTGTCTCTGAAATTCTTTGTTTCTATATAAATAGCTACTTAATCACTTATACTAGTGTGCAATGACATTTCTTGACCCAGCTATTGTTCAATGAATCCAATAAGATATATTTCCCAATGATCAGCAATGACATCTAACCTTCCCTGAGTGGTCCTGCACTTCAATTTGCTGTGTTATCCATTCCGTGACCATGAATTCTCCTCCACCCTGCACAAGCAAAAAGAAACCCATGCTCTAAAATGATAAATGTCTATATGCGTGTCACAATTGTCTTTCTTTTTCCCTAAGGAATAATTTAAGATGGTAGTTTTTAATCTTTTCAAAACTGTGAAACCATCTTAAGATGTATCCAGAGTACCTGGAATTCTGGATACCCTGGAGAGATCTTAAAATGGCTTCGCATGACTAGCTCCAGGCCTATGAATTGGTTGAACATAAGATCTGGTACTTACTGTTGCCCATTCTCTGTTTCTTTCTTTTTTTTTTTTCCATTCTCTATTTCTTGGAACAAAATGGCCAAGACATCACATTATTTGTTTTCAAAGCAAGAAATATTTCAAGAGAAGATATGTTCTTCTCAGGTGCTTTTCTAATTTCTCTGGTCTCTTGCCCTTGGAATGAGCCCAGAAAGCCAACTGTGGATAATGATGCCTCGTACTCCTTCTACTTTCTCAATCCTCTTTTTCTGTTTTCTTAGATTATAAGAAGGATCCGTACAGCGAAGGAGATCCTTGTTATACTGTCTGCTGCAGGGGGGACCTGAGCTCGACAGAACCTGAACCAGCAGGTTGTTATGACACAAAGGTAAAGTGCTTCAGGAGAAATGCTCACATTTCTGGTTCCAGCAGCACCATGGCCTTTAGCACAGTGCCTGGCACATAGCAGACACTTAAATATTCATTCCCTTACTTTTCCTGTCTCTTGTGTGGTAGTAAGGCTCTGACTACTCCCATAATACAAAAAACAGGCATATCTCTGGGAAAGCAGATCCACCACAACTGCCTTGTTTTGTAGCTAGTATTTGACTTGCAAAATACTTTATTCCTTGGATCCTTACAACCACCCTGAGAGGTAGGTGCTGTTACTATCCCCATTTTATAAATGAGGAAACTAAGGCAAAGGTTATGTGATTTGCCCTAGGGTCACACAGCTAGTAAATGTCTGTGGCTAGATTTGAACAAAGGTTTTCCTGATTCCAAGTCCAGTGTTCTGTCCATTGAACCACCAAGATATTTTCTGAAGAGTTAAAACATTTTTAGAATTGAGCTTCTAAATTATATTGCCCCAATTTAAACCACCTTTAATTTCTCCTGGTTCCCCGCCCCCCCCACCTCCTTTGCGTCTAACTCTAATTTTTGATGTTCAGTCATTCAATCATTTCTGACTCTTCATGACCCCGTAGACCATAATACACCAGGCCCGTTTGTCCTCCACTGTTTCCCAAAGTTTATTCAAATTCGTGTTCATTGTGTGTGGGAGAAGGCCACACTAGAATTAAAAGTTCGGAGGCTGAGTCAGAGATCAGAAAACATTTTTATTCTTTCTCATGAGAAAGGGCACAGCCCTTGTCACTCAAGCAGCGGCAGCCAGGGAGTGCGCCTGCTGGCTGTGAGAAGCAAGGTTTTATAGCCCTAACGCGATACCCCCTCCCCATTTTTGAACCCTTCTTCCCATTGGCTGGGTTTCTGGGTGCACAATCTAAAAGCTGCTTTCTAAGACCCTTAGTACAATAATATCCTTATTTGGAAATATTTGCCTAGAGACAAAGGCTCAGGAAGACTTTTGATAAAGGCTTTAGAAGTCCCTAGAGACAGATAAGCAGGAAGCCCCTGGTGGTTAAGCTAGCGGTCTTTCACAATTTTTACCTTGTTAGAGGAATTGGAGCACACAGGTTAGCTCTTGCTTAATGCACAGCAAATGTTTACAGATTCATCAAGTTTTACTGCTTTGGAGGTACAAAGGGGATTTATGAGTTTTAGTACTGAGGAAACTTCATCTATCTCACACAATTGCTTCCATGACACTATCGATCCATTTCATCCTCTGCTGTCCCCTTCTCCCTTGGCCTTCCATTTTTCCTAACATCAAGGTCTTTTCCAGTGAGTCCTGTCTTCTCATTATGTGGTGAAAATATTTAAGCTTCAGCTTCAGTATTTGTCCTTCCAACAAGTAATCTGATTTGATTTCTTTAAATATTGGCCATCCAAGGGACTTCTTTAACCCAGAGTAATTCTGTTGTGAGTCACAGTATATTGATCTTTATATGGATTCCCAATTTCATTTCCTTTCTGGTACACTTTAGTTAAATTACTAACTTTCTTTTCTGTTTTACACGGCTTATACTTTTTTCAAAATTTCTCAAATACGTTCCAGAATCTATACTACCAGATGATTATAAGTGAAACTTTCAGATTTGTAGGTACAGTCTCTCTTTCTGCCACAAAAACCTCTTATTCCAAGTTGATTTGTTACTAAAGATTCTGAAGCTGCATGGTTTGACCTAATCTTTTGTTTCTTTCCATTGCCTTTTAGGTACATTTGCTTATTACTTACTAAGCAATACAATTCTACCAAACCATTCAGATTAGCACACTGTGGTCAGGCAAGTCAAGCTTTTCCTGCCAAAAAAAAAAAATGAAGTATTACTTTTTTCTCAAAAGAATTGTATTTGGTTTAGCCTCGAGGTACCTCGAGGTACCAGCTTCCCTGGGGCAGCTAGGTGGCATATTAAATAAAGCACTGACCCTGGAATCAGAAGGACCTGAGTTCAAATGTGACTTCAATCACTTCACTAGCTGTTTGACCCTGGGCAAGTCACTTAGCTGAGACAAACACAGCTAAGTGTTTCCTCTTCTGTAAAATGAACTGGAGAAGGAAATGGCAAGCCAAGAAAACCCCAAATGGGATCACAGAGAGTCCAACATGACTGAAATGACTCAACAACAATAACCTCTTTTCCCCACAACTCTGTTTTCTAAGAGTTCTCCAAGCTGAAGAGAAAAAGAAAAAGTAGAAAAGACAGCATTTTCAGGGAGAGATTCTTAAGTCCAAACTAAAAGCTACAAAACTGCTTCGGAGGGTATTTTCCCCCCTCTTTCCCATTTTTGTAGTCACTAAGAGGGGAAAAAGACTTTTAAAACTTTCATTTCTGTTAGGGCTGATCCCTATTTTTTACTAAAAAAAAGATAGATATACATTCCTAATACAAAAATACATTTTTGTTGCTGTCAACCATTAACTCAAACAACCAAAAATCTATTGGTTACACTAGGTCTGAGTATAAGTATATGTGTATGTGTGAAGCCTGCTATGCTATCCACTGTACCACCAGCTGCCTCTATATAGAATACATGTAGCATCTGCAGATATGGACTTAAATAGGAACATGCATAAATACTTTTTAGTCTGTCTGAAAGAATTGAGCTTTCTCCACAATTGTCAGATTTCATAAGCCAAACTGAGTAGTCAGGAACACAAAAACACACGTTTATGTATGTATGTATGTATGTGGAGAGAGAGAGTTATTTTCAATTGTTTTCAGTTGTGTCTGACTCTTTGTGACCCCATTTGGGGTTTTCTTGGCAAAGATACTGGAGTGGTTTGCCATTTCCTTCTACAACTCATTTTACAGATGAGGAAACTGAGGCAAACAGGGTTAAGTCACTTGTGCAGGGTCACACAGCTAGTAAGTGTCTGAGGCCAGATTTGAACTCACAAAGAAGACTTCCTGACTTTAGAGTCTGGCACTTTATGTAGGGAGACACCTAGTTGTCCCATATGTTATATATGTATGTGTAAATATATTTGTGCATTCATATATGCCTATAAATAGATAATATACATATATATGTATATACACACTATTTATTTTATATGTGTGTATATATATATACATATATGTATGTATACACGTATATATTTGGATCTCCATTTGACAATTTTAGCCTGATAAGCCGTTTCCTCTTGTATAAGATATGTAGTAGATATGTATTAAATGCTGTCCTTTTTTAAAATAAAGGTATTCCTAAACACTGTGTTCTGCTCTAAAGGCTCCTCTGCTCCTTCTCCATTGGATGTTCCATCAGAGCCTACCCTGAATAGTGGTGAATCTGTCCTCAAAGCTTGCTGATCCACAGGAGCCTATTTCAGTCTTCACCCATCTAGGGAATCTGGCCTTTGATCTCAATGCCCCTCAAAGTAGGAGGACACTGCTAAAAGTAAATTTGTAGCCATAGAATGTAAAAAGCATTGAACTTCTTAGAATCCAACAACCTAGGCTAGGACCCAGCACTCCTTACTCACAGGCCAATATAATCTATTCTACCTCGTCACAAAGAAATTAATGTGCAAAAGAAACTCTAGGTCCAGTGGGGAAAGGGGAGAATTTTATTCTATGGTCTGAATCACCAAATAATGGAGTTCTATATTATACATTTTATTAAACCTAAAACATTTTAAGAGAAAACAATGACCAAAGGATCTTGGTTCTCGACATCAGTGTTTGGCCAGCCTGGATGACAGGATACCTGAAGGACTAATTGCTGCCTTCCTGAATTTTTCAAAGTCCTAGCCAGCTCTTTGCCTAGACTATCTTACTAACTTACCATTCTACCGTATACCTCAACACAGTAGAACAAGTCTACTACTAGATAAGCCTGGGATGACTAGGATGGGAAGCACCAAACTTGATGGCAGTTGGATAGAGAGCCACAAGGTTCATGGAACTCCCGGAAGAGCTGAGAACACTTAAGCTTCTGCCCGCTACCTCATGCCAGTGGTCTCAGGCTTGGTCTACTTTTCAATGGTTAAAAGAAGAGTGAAGGATATGTCCCTCTCACCAGGACAATGAGCCAACCTGTGTGCTTTTCAGAACACATCTGGTTATTTCCCTAATAGGATTGCAAATAGGCCGGTGTGACTAAAATTTACTTATTCCTGGACAGAGTAGATGAAATAACATTATAGAAATAACTAGGGGCAGCTAGGTGGGACAGTGGATAGAGCACCAGCCCTGGAGTTAGGAGGACCTGAGTTCAAATGCAGCCCCAGACACATAACAGTGTGACCCTAGACAAGTCACTTAACCCCATTGCCTAGCCAAAAAAAAAAAAAAGAAATAACTCATACTGGCATAGATTTAACCTTATAGTATAGAGAGGGAGAGAAGGGCGGGGGTGGGGGGAAGCATTTATATAGTACACTTTTACAAATATTATCTTATTTGATCCTCACGACAACCCTGAGAGGTAGTTGTTATTATTATCCCCATTTCACAGCTGAAGAAACTGAGGCAGGGTTAAGTGACTTGCCTAGGGTCACACAGCTTGTTTTTGTTATTCATCGTTAGTTTTTTTGAAAAGGACCAATGACAACAGGATGATATCTTGACTTGTGCATGAATTAGATTTAAGTGAAGCAGAGTTGCACAAAGTCATCAGCCTTACTCTGTCTTCCATCTTCATCATAGTCCAATGGCAGGACGAAAGTCTCATTAAATATCTAAGGTCAGATTTAAACTTAAGTCTTCTTGACTCCAGCCCCAGCACTTTGTGCAAGATGGTGCCACCTAGCTGTTGCTTTGTATAATACATATGGTGGCTACAGATAGGGACAGAAGTAGAAACATATGTAAATACATTCTAGTCTGTCTGACCAACTTGACTTTTCTCTTAAATTGTCAGATTCTGGGAGACAAAATGAGTAGTCAGGATTAATGGGCAGCGGTGCCCAAACAAATGAACCACTCCTTAAGGTTTTCAGAAGGACCCTTACTTCTAATTTAGTTGGTCATTAAGTATTTCCCCCCAAGGGAGGCAGTTCTGGGTCGTGCTACCTGCTATCCGATGGTGGAATCTGAGCGTGGTTGTTGTTCGGTCATTTCATTCATTTCCAATTCTCTGTGACCCCATCCAGGGTTTTCTTGGTGGAGATCCTGGAGTGGTTTGTCATTTCCTTCTCTAGCTCATTTTACAGATGAGGAAACTGAGGCAAACAGGATTAAGTGACTTGTCCACGGTCACATAGCTAGTAAGCATCTGAGGCTGGATTTGAATTCACGTCTTCCTGACCCTTGGCCTGCTGAGACATGGTACCATTTTAATATGGAAGAAAAATTCAATGCTGTTTTATATTTAGTCAGTTTCTGTCAGAGACAATAATCAATTACCATTAACCAGTGCTGCTGCTGGTACTGCTGCTGCTGCTCTGTGTGTGTGTGTGTGTGTGTGTGTGTGTGTGTGTGTGTGTGTGTGT